GGACTCGAAGGTTTCCCGGGTCACACTCATCTGAGAAGGAAGGAAGTGCGGCCTCTCCGGGACACTGAGGCCCTTCCCGTTAGAAAGTCTGCCCCGGAGAATCTTTCGATTCTTGTAAGAAGTCCTCACCTTGGTGGCTGCGTGTCTTTTTGCTTCCACCTGTCATCCCGTACGCTTCAAACTGTTCCTAAAGCGTGAGCCACACACCCAGTTTTAGTTATAACCAGTTTGACAGCCATGCAATGTAAAACGGACCATCAATACATGGAAATATGTGATTGTTTTTATAAATTCTCCAGTGTTCTCTAAGGCTAAATTACGGTGAAATTGACGCTTACATGCACATTTTACCGTCTGTAAAACAAGGGTGGGAGAGAGATGTTAAAACTTTTGCCCAGGGCGGCGGTGAGATGGTTCAGCTGGTAAAAGTGCTTGCTGCTAAGCCAGAGTTCCACCCTTGGTACCCACGTGTTGGAAGGAGAGAACCAATTACCGGAAGTTGTACCCTAATATACACAATTTATTCTTGTTTTTGTTGTGTTTTTGTTGTTGTTGTTTGTTCAAAGACTCCAGTTTAAATTAAGGTAAAACAAAGGTTTGTGAGTCAGGAATGCAGCCCAAAGCTAAGAGTGCTTGCTGGACATGTGTAAGGTGCTAGATTACATCACCAGAACCGGCAAAAAAAAATGCAGGGCTGTGGGTACAACTCATTGTAGACTGATTGGAAAGCATGCAGGCCTAGGTACAGAAAGCTGAATGGTATGAAAAAACACACCAAGCAAGGTCTGGCTCCAGGCAATGTTCTCAATATCTAGACTCATCATTTTTTTTGTTTGTTGTTTTGTTTTTGGTTTTTCAAGAAAAGGTTTCTCAGTGTAGCCTTGGCTGTATCCTGGAACTTGTTTTGTAAACCAGGCTGGCCTCAAACTCACAGCAATCCACCTGCCTCTGTCTCCCAAGTGCTAGAATTAAAGGTGTACACCACTATACCCTATCCCAGACTTGTGATTTTTAAAAATCATAAAAAAGCTACAATGAAGCTGAATTTAGGTGGATCAGTGCCCTGTCTCTAAGGACATCTCCTAAAAACACTGAGTCAAATTTGTCAACCTTAAGATTCTTAAAAGCCAAAACCAGAATAGTTTCGTGAAGAGATAATAATACAAGGGACTATAAATATAACCTCTAGTGGCATCCTAATGGCTTATGAGGGCAACTCTGGAAAGAATTTTGTGCCTATTAGTAGGCTTGAATCTTTTTCGAAGCAGGGTCTCCACAGTGTAGTGTAAACTAGCCTTGAACTCAGCAACACCTCTTCTGCCTCCCAAGTGCCAGGGGATTGCAGGCTTGAGGCTACACACCCAGTTTATATCATCTGCACTTAAAGGGAGAGATCATCTGCTGTATTTACTTGGCCAACTGAGCAGTGCAACAGTTCGATGAATTTGAATTCCTCTTATATAAATTTCTTTCTTATATCTGTAGAAGTACAGATATAAAAAAGCAATTTTAAGAACTAGGCTTGGTGGTGGCACACACCTTTAGTCCCAGCAATTGCAAGGCAGGGGCA